CATGACATGTACAACTTTGAACAGGAGTGTCAATTCTTTCAGTTTCTATGAATTCAACCCGGCAGATCTATAGTTTAAACAATGCTAAACAATGAAACATTTTAATATGACCTCGAGCCTGCTTTATTATTATTGATTTAAAGTCAATATGAGCTCATATGATAAAAACACCAACATGGCCTTAAAGGCTATTTTAGCTGGGGTTTTTTTTTGCTTGATTGACAGGTGCCTTAAAGCCTATTGCACTCTTCCTTTTTGATCAAATCAGTCATCTCTAGGTCTGTTAAATGCCACACGTTATTGAAAGGTCATGTGAATTTCAGGTAGCTTTCATTGAAATCTGAAACCAGCTAAGTGAGGTGCTTCTCCTCTGAGCTCACACCGTACTGGGAATGTGGCCGAGATAACTGCGCATCAGTGCAGCGATAACTCGTATCTACACAGGATAACTGGCATCTATACGGGGCTGTTGATGGCAACAGCAGGGTGACAGACACAGCCAGAATGCCAGCATGACGGGCGACTCTTTCAGTTCAGCTGTCACTCAAACCTCTCACTGCTCGCGAGCACAAGGCCAACCAACCATTCAACCAACGATGCTCGAGCTGTATTCATCTGTCGAGTACCGCCACATTATCTTCAGAGAACAGAGGAGAGATGCTGTTCTGATAACGGAAACTCATCCTCACACAATGAGCCTGAAGTCAATGCAGCGCCAGCAGATAATACTTGTCATCTGCTTTGGATGCTTTATATATTGCAGTGTGTTGAGTTGTGAAGGCACATGAGCTCTTTGTTGGGTTGTCACGAGAAACCGGATCCTCCGCACCGCAGTCTAATGCAAACAGCCGTGTTAAAAAAGGTCAACAGAAATTACACCCCACATTAAGAACCAAGAGCTTTAAGTTAAACACAACGTGTGCTTTATAGTTGAACCCTTCTTTTTCCTTTTCACTGTTCACATACAGCTGCTCTCTGACTCACTCTATTGAAGTCCACTCAGAGAATGAAGGTGTTGATCTGCTTCAATTCAGAGGACTCCTTTTCAGTAGATTGAAGTATGGCCGACTGACAACTAAATTGAACTCTTTCAAAACACGCACCATTACCAGTTTTAATCAACTCCCCTTTAAGCAGGTGTTTTTGTCAGTTCTGTGTCTAGTGCTACCTGCAGTGTGAAACACTAATGTGGGGCTAAATTGATACGGGTGCTGATGTAAAGCTGCCTCAAACCTTTTTGTACATAACGTGTAAAATTCTGGACAATTATGCACCTTGACAGGTACCAAACTTAAACTTTACAGCAGACAGCATACGAGGTTGAGCGCTGCAGAACAGGTCCTCTTCCAGATGACTGAGGCGCCATTTTTTTATGAATAACCTCCACATTTTATAAACATGTTGACATTTAAGCTGTGTAATTATGAGCAAGAAGCCACTGTTAATAGGAACTACAAGGAAAGCTGTGTGCCCATTGTGTACCATGCAACATAACAGCATAACAACACGTATGTGCATTTGCAATATGGGAAACGTACACAAGCTGTGTCATTATGGGTAGAAACAAGCATTCTAAAAATTCTAAATCGAAAAAGAAGAAATAATTGCACATCCATTTCACAAGACATGTGCGTATAGGAGATCAGTGAGTTCAACAAAAAGGTAAAGGTGTAAATCATGCACACTGTCTTACTTGCAAACAAACATTTATTGGCAACGTGTTATCACTCCTTGATTGTTTAGTGCGAACACCGTTTGCCTGATAAAGGTCTCGTACCAAAACTTTGCCAATAAATGTTTGTTTGCAAGTTAGACAGTGTGCGGAGTTTACCTTTAAGGTTTTAAAAAGCTGTTTCTAGAAATTTAAAATGGCTCAAAAAAGCTTTGATTTGCAAAACTATTACACAGTTCATAGCAAAGCTGCCCGTTATATTTTCTTGGATATCGTGATAGAAAGAAAACAAAAACTGGACAGGCAACATCCTGGTCAGTTTTTCAGCCCATTTCCTTCACATTATAAGCTGTGAGCACAGGGAGCAGCTCTATGTACTTCAGTGTCCGCGGCACATTTTCAGATCACTGATTTTCTCCTCGCACAGCCTGGAGGATCACTAAAGAGCCCTTTCCTGAATGCTCTCATTTCCATCATGTTGTTACTGTTATTGTTCTGTTTCTCTGCTTGCTGTCCAGATAGGGACGCTGTCATTTGTGATTACTGACTATTGTGTGTTTATTTGGTTTGGAAAGAACTCAGATGAAGCGTTATGATAGGGAGGATAATCCATCAGTAAAGGAAAATCTGACGTGTTCTTGCTACTCTGACAGCTCAAGCCCCTCTGATTGTTTGTTCGTTTGCAGAGATCCAACATAAAATAAGAACATAAAACCTCAATTGTTGACTATTTTATCTAGTTTTATCACCATTTGCCGAGTCGTGCATGACCGCCTCAGCATTTCAGATATAATCTGCAAAAAAAAGTCTCCAAAAAAGTATGCAAAAAAAGTCTGCAAAAAGCTTAATCTGCAGTGTGGCTCGAGATGAAAAAATCACATATTCAAGAGGCTGCGAGATTAAGGATTATTCAATAGACAACAACTATTACAATCATCAATTAACAATATTTTCAGAGGGGAAAAAAGCAAAAATAAATTCCGGTTCAAGCTTCTCAAAGATAAGGGTTTGACTCTTGTCTTTGACATGAATTACTTTTTCTCTGGACTTTTGGTTAAATAAAACAACTTGCCTTTACTTTAGGGAATAATCGCAGGTGTGTGTTTTTTTTTTTCATTTCATACAATTATCAATAATAATCTTTATAAGGGAACACACATATTTTTAAACCATAAACCCTCTTCTTATATTTTGGGGTCATAAGGCATGACTTACAGGCACGTAAAGCGCTGCAAATGCTACAAAATGTAATCTTAGCAGGAAAATGCGATCAGAGTAAATCCACTAAAAGTGCATGGTTTTCATCGCTGTAGGCTCAGATTCTTATTTTAGGTGTGAAGGCAACATTACAGAAAGATATGAAGCAGGCTTTTCTTGTAAAACGAATACGGCTTTTTGGATCAAGAGAAAAAAGATGTGGCACCAGACTCCATTGATGACAATAATGAAACACATGAGTAGCTAACCAATGCTTTAATATGTTGGTCTTTTCATGCTGTGACTTTCATGCAATAAAGGGTTGGCTCGAATCCGACACAAAACAAATTCACCAAAAAACGGATCAAGCCGAGAAAGTGATAGACCAGCAAATCTATGTTTTTATAGCAACGTAAGTTTGGTGGCTTTTACAAGTTTTATATTTTCAAAAATGCATCTTTTTTTTCAAAAAGGTGTTTTTCTGGGGGTGATTTTTTTTGTGTAAATTTGTGAGAAAGTTTGAATAAAAACCTGAGCCTGTCAGTGGTAGAAGAAAGGGGCTTTTAGTGGACGTACTTACTGGGTTTGAAACATTTGCCTTTAATGATAAGATTGCGGGGGCACCAGTAGTACACGCACCACGTACAGAGGCTTAAGTCCTCGAGAGCAGACGTGCCAGGCTGGAATCCGCCTAGTGGCTCCTTTCCCGCATGTCATTCCCAACTCTCTCATCCCTCATCTTTCCACTTTAATATCTCTAAAATGAAGGCATAAAAAGCCCCAAAGTAAATCAAAGAACAGAGATACGATTGCGACCACTATTTTGTTACATACTTCAACAATCTACTAGAGCAAAGAAGTCTTAGTTCCTATTTTAATCCCAGAGAAAAAAAGAGTCCAGGTTTTTAACCCCAAGGGACTGTCAGACCTCACACATTACTTTGTACATGTTTTAAATCTCTGAAACAATGAAACAGCAGTACAGTAGATATCCAGAGATGAAGTTACATTACACTTGTGTAGCGGTGTTCCAAAGGAAGACGAAACACAAAGTCCTGTCCTGACCAAAGCACCTTATTTTTGTTGTCATTTTCCTTTAAATGTGCAGTAAAGCTGTATTTCAGGAATACAATGGTTCAGTCTCACTCTTAATGTAATTGGCTACGGAGAGCTCTCACACCCATTCAAACATTAATGCACAAACCCAAACCTCCCAAACACTCTCTGTGCACAAACACACTCCACCTTTCAATACCAGCAGCACTATTTCCTTGCTGCACAAAAACACACCAACACAGCCCTCCACTATGACAGCCCCACATACAGCTCCCTGTGCATTACATAAAGCTAATCAATGCTCTGGCAGCTATAAATAATTCAAGCTCTCCAACATCCATCAGCAGCCGAGATGCTGTTGCTACTGCAGCGGAGGAGGAAGAGGAGGAGGAGGAGGAGGAGGAGCGGAGCCGGCGGCCTGGCCCTCCTCACCCAGCAGCAGCGCGGGAATACCACCACCTCATCCTTCTCAGTGATTTCAGTGAAAAAAAACACTCAGCTGCAGCCTCCTCCACCTCCTACTCGTCCTCCTCCTCCTCCTCATACCTACGGGCGAGATATGGCGGTGAAAGAGGCGAGCAGATCCGCCTTCACCTGGATGAAAAGATACACAACACGGGCAGGAGGAGAGGAAAGGAGAGGAGAGGGGAGGAGAGGAGAGGGGAGGGATGGAGCACGCCTTTTTTGTTTCGTGCCAAAACTGAAACATAAACCGTGATGATTTTTCTTTTCAAAGAAAAGCGCATCTCTCTGACAGAACTGCTTCCGCGTGTTGCACTAAAGAGCGTCCAGCCAGGTGCAAGCTGGCGGATACCTGCAGCGCGTCTGCCGCCTGGACAGGATGTGTGTGTCCATCTGTACACACATCAGACACACACTCACAGTTCACGCCTAACACCACAGTTCTGCGCGCATCCTCCTGGTTCAAATCATCTCTCACACACCCCCGAAATAAAACCCCGTTGCCCAAACGCACAAAGCAACAAGGCATGATAACAACCGAGTCTCCCGAGCAAAACCTCCCCAACCCAGATTCTGAGATATTTTGACGCACGGGGCGTTTGGTTTTACTGACCTGATGTCTGAAGCGACCGAGGTTGTGAAAAAGGATGCCGACCAGTCTGTAGCCAAACCCCCGTTTGATGCCTGCCCTATATCCTCTCCCTCTCTCTCTCTCTCTCTCTCTCTCTCTCTATCTCTGAGTCTCCACCACCACCCCCTCCTGCGCACTGTTACCTCACCGCCTCCACTTCGTTACTCCAAGGCAGGAGAGAGAGCAAGGAAGCATATGGCGACTGATTCTCCACCAGCTCAAGCAGACACACAACAGGTCTCTATGTTTTCTTTTTCTTTTTTTTTTGTTCTGCAGAAAAACGTTGGAAAACAGCACCCCATTCTGAGGCTACTGGTAACTTTGACAACTCTGCTACTATAAAGGAAGAACTACGTGTAATTAACTTGAATTAAACAGCCAGTTGTCTATATCAAAGGCTGTACTTACTGTAATTGCAGGTCCTTTTTTTTAACACACATTGGAGTACTTACTATGAACATTTTCAGTACTCTAATCGATTACTACAGCTGGTTTGGTGTGTGCAGTAAACGGAGGATACTTTTTTTTATAACTGCACGGTGGAGTCTGTTCTCAAATTAGATTTTTATCACCTGGTTTGGTAATCTCTCAATAGGAGACAAAAATAGGTTGCAACACATCATAGTAGGATATTTTGGGTTGAATCTTTCCCTCATTAGTAAAACAGCGTCAGCTAAGGCTGGAGACATATTACAGTGTCCTCCTCATCCTCTGTTTGGTGAGTTTGAGCTTCTGCCCTCAGGCAGGAAGATACAGATTATCAAAAGCTAAATCAAACAGATAGAAAAAAGAAGATGTGCCCGCACACTTGCTCAATGCCACTTACTGAATCACAATGTTTCGACCTGAGTATGGGACTTTGAGTTGGGAACCGGAGGTCCGCCGATTCAAGTCCTGGTGTGGACGAAATCTGGAAATTGGTGGTCTGGTATCTGGAGTCGTGCCGGTTCACTTCCTGAGCACTGCAGAGACCTTTGAGCAATGCACCAAACTAAAACAAGGCCAGGTCTCTTCTACTTATAAACAAATGTGGATCAGGTGGACATAAACAGTACGATCTCCTGAGCAATCGCCATGGAAGTGTCATCAGAAATGTGGTTTGTTGAATTATTATGCTCATTGTGGAGTTAGACATGTATTTGGTTTAGTGTGTGGACAATAAATCAAAAGAATGTAATTCAGAGTTTAAAAAAAAAAAAAGATTAAAAAAGTTTGAGAAAGTTACTGAGGCTGGAGGAGCAGATGTTCGCTAAGAGAAGGGGCGGGGCTTCAGCTTGTGATAAAGCAGAATGCTGATGCGTTCAGGTGTCATCAGCTGTCCGAGCAGCTGGTCTCACTCCCTGTTTGTGCTGCAGGCTGCTGATGTGAAGCCTTGTACTAATGCACTCATTGTTAAAGTGTTATTACCAGCCTCATTTATCACTGAGCAAACACACAGACACACACACACACACATGCACACAAATACAGACACTAAGCAAACACACAGGACAGGTGCTGCCTGCTGCTCACCACCATGTCACGCCATCGACATGACCAGATCAAAATCAATCTCTAACTGCTCCGGACTGAAACACACAGAAAAGCAACAAGTGATTGGCAGCAGAGAAAAGGAACTTAGTGAAGTAATTCTGAACAAAGATTTAGATTCCCATGAGTTACGATGTCGCAAATGTTTCTCATATAATTCTTCATCGTGAAGTTCATTTTCGAGGACCTAAGAAATGTTCCCATCGTCTGTTCCTGTATCCTTAAAGGGGTTTACAACTTTAAATTAAATTCTAAAAAAAAAAAAAAAAAATCCAGGATCTGCTTGAAGCTGCAAATGACTTAAATTAATTCCTGGAACTACTGAAACAACCAAAGCAACATCCCTTTAATCCACGAAAGACTCCGGCACTCCTGACAGTCAGCTCTTTCCTCCGGGAGAAAGATGTTTTTCTGAGAAGCTAATCATTGCAATATTTGTATTGATGCTTAGGGGCTCTGTTTGTCCTATTTGCCTGAAAGATTGTTGCATGTAACAAAGCAGAACACACAGATAAAAGCCTGTTTTAGATTTAAAAGGGAGTTCCAGTGACTATTAAAGTTTGGCAGTATTTTTTTTGTTGAGATTTCTTGGTCTCAATGACAAATGGGTAATAGGTAAAGGTACGATAATCACAGACTGAAAACCTCTCCAGTCAATATATGAGCAGCCTGTTCTCACGCATGCACAGAGACAGAGAGTGTGATCCGTCTCACGTCCTCCACTCTGAGAATGAGCGTTTACCATCTGGGAGACGATGCAGACTCCCCCAATGCAAACTGAATCGTTTAAAAACTATTTTGTAGCCACGTCGATCAAAACTGTAAATAATGTTTTTTTTAAAGGCCAATAGCGTTGCAGTGTTCTTATATTTGCTTACCTGTTTATCTTCTCTTCACCTAATTTGTGTTTTACGCAAATCTTGTGCAATATGGGTTATGTTCAATATGTTGTTTTGTTTCTTTGGTTTGCGCTTTTCTGTTTACACGTGATTTATGTTTGTTTCTATTGTTTTTATTTTTTTTGTTTTTCTACTGTGGAGGGCAGCTTAAGGTTTGCAGCACTTTGAGTCCAAGACACATTTCCCCAAGGGGATCTAATCGTATCATGTTGTGTCGTTTTGTAAAGTAATGTATCTTATTGTATCATATTGTATCTTATTGTAAGAGAGAAAACAGTTTTGAAAGCAAAAGACTGGAACAGCTGTTTTTTTTTTTTTTTTTATCCAGAAGCAGTGAAACAGGCTGTAATGGCTGAAACCTAATCTAGATCAATCAGCTCAATCCCCTTAAAGTGCTCTAGTGTCAGTCCATGAAGTGACATCATATCAGGAAGGATCCTTATGGAGAAAGACCTCTTTGTTTGGGAAGGATCTTTTTTATCAAGCCAGCAAGAACCTTTTCATCATTCTCTTCACAAGAAAACAGAGTGTTGACAAAAATGATCATTTTACAGTTCAGAGCTCCTTCCTCACTGTGGCCTTGATCATAGTTTTCTTCCAATCAATCCATCAATCCATCATTATTTTTTTTAGCTCCAATTCATTTTGCTGTATGTCATAGCGGGCTCTGTTTGGAGGCCGCCACGACAAGACACGTTAAGTTACATGACAACGATAAATGGATTTTTCTGGGTTTGATTACTGTTGGATATATTTGAGGTAATGTAAGTACTCAACAACAAAAATGAACTTTGATGCAGTCCACTTTTAATGAATTTAGATAATTAAGCGTAAAATTCTACATATTGTCCCTTTAAGTCCAAATTATTGTGATGTATGTCTCCTGATTGTTTCGTTTAAAGGAAGCAAATTGCTGTATTTGATCCAGCCAAGATTCTTTTAGAAAAAGCAACAGCTTCACCAGTGCTTGAGTTTCTTCGTTAAATCAGTTTTCTGTACATCCATAGTCAAAATCCGGTGGCGCTACCCTGCTTGCTTTCTGCCTGTTTTGGTTATTTTTACTGTCCTTTGACACATTTCCCCGGGAGATATTAAAGTGTATCGGATCGTATTGTACATTTCTTTCATCTTACCAAAATGCACTTCTGTCTGTATCCCACCCACCTGTTTGGTCTCATTCTTATAATTACATGTATGAGTCAAGAGTTTATGGACTGTATTTTCATGCTGATAGACCATTCTGTTGTTCCGCAGAACCACTTTATAACCTGCTGGTAGGAATTAAGTTCTCCAACAGCCTTCACAGTTTGATCAAGAAAGCTCTTCAACTCTAACCCTGGAGACTATTACTCAGTCACCGTGATGAACTACAAAACAATGTTTCATTTAAATATTATTTAAGCCCAAATCACCGTCTTTTTTCAAAACCTCATCACATACACAGCGAGTAAGAGTTCAACATTGTTTTTTTTTGTGCATATGAGTGCACACTACAGAGTATATAGGCAGTATACAAGTCTGTCTATAGAGAAGCACATTTGCTTTTCTTTGTCTGATTACAATTTCGGATTATTACTTTTTAAGGTCTGAACTGCTGATTCCGAATTTGGCTGATTCCAATTTTCTTTCTCTTTAGAACCATATTTGGCAGCAAAAAACAAAACATTTTGTGTATATTTTTAGATGTAGTAGATGAAATGCTTTTTTGCCTCTTCTAATGAGCTCCTTAACCCACACTGCCGACATGTTAGCTTGCGTGTCTGTGTGTGTGTGTGTGGCTGTCTCGTTTGTGTTGCTATGGCATGAAAATTGCAGCTCATGAGTGTGAATCTGAGATTGGAAAAGAATTTCAGAACCTAACGGACAGCGCCCATGGCTGAAGAGGATGAATATTGGACGATTCTGGTCCTCAGCTGGTCAATCAGTGGACCTCTATTCTGGTCTAATGACAGACTGTACAAATAGCATTAAAAATAGAATATAGTTACCAGCGAAAAAAAAAGGGACACTAGTTTCTTTGACCCAATGTGGAAGGACGTGACTTCTTACTGGGAGCAGAAAATACCAGTGCATACATGCCACAGTACAAGCCAAGAAATGATCTAAAAAATGCAATCACACATCTGCAAAATACAGTATTCATCAGGGATGGATGAACTGGATCTTTCCACCAGTTCCTCCTTCTCTTCAATGATAAGACTGCAAACGCAAATGATAAATCTATTATTTACAGTCTAAAGATGAAGCTGTTCTCTCTCTTAGAGAAACCTTATATCAGAAAATGTGATCGTTCCTTTAGTGTATTGAAATATTAGCTCCAGTATTCAGTGAACCAGTGTGCATGCTGTTGTTGGGTGCAGCATTGCGCTCACAGCAGAGGAGAGTTTAGGCTCCATTACTGACACCACATGTTTGAGGTTTAGGGTTAAGATTTAAAGCCCACCCAAAGCTTTCAACCACATTCAAGAAGTGAAATATTAATGACTTATTCTACATTTTCTCACTTTCTGTTTCACATAAAATTCCTGAAAATATTATTTTGTGATTTTCTTGACTAATTTTGACTTACACAATGAATGTTTCTTTTTGGTTTCATGTACATTATTTAGTTAAGTTAAGTTATACTTGGATGATAATGATCCCACTCTGG